AACAGCCACCCACGTCGTTCACCAAAACCCTGTTCAGAAAGTAACGAGAAAAGCTTACCTTGAGCTGCTATGAATTTATTCTTCTCCTTGTAACCCTAGAAAAATAAAGTCAGATTTATAATCTTTCGGAATTATATTTGCTGGAAAGGTTTCTTTATTGTTAGAAAGCAATACATATTCATCAAGAAAATTTTGGAAAAGAAAAAAAAATTCAGCAGTAATTTCAGAAATAACAAACGCTATTTTTGTTATTTATGTTATGTCCCTTTCTAGCCTTTTTTTTTTTTTCCTGTGAATACCTTCTGAGACACACACACAGAAGCAGACACACATTTATATATTTTTACTTTTAGGCAGACATACAGACATTTATATATTTTTAATTGGTTCATAGGCACAAATTCTCTTATGTTGTGTTTTATGATACTTTTATAATTTATATTAAAATATATGTTAAGGTTCAATTAAAACGGATTCTTAATAATCCACTGCGCATGGCTTTACCGCAGTTTATTTAACTGGTCCCTCCTGTTCTGTTCTGAACATCTTTGGTGCTTATGTCTGTTTGTTCAGAATGAACCCTGGGACACAGATGCCAATTCAGAAGGTGTGGGTGCTCCCACGCTGTCTGTGCTGTGGGCAAACTGCCCAGGAAGGTTGGGCCAACTTACATTCCTGGACCCAGTAAAGAAAGCGCCCACCTATTATGACTCACACTGAACCCCCAAATAGTCCAGGTGTGTGTGTCGTGCTGGGCAGGGGACAGGAAAACAGGACTTACATCTATGTACGAAGCATTAACGTAGTCTGAACAGGGGGCTCCATCTACTTGGCTCAGAACCACCCTGGAATGATCATCTGTCAACAAACAAACACACACATGATGTTAGAATAAGGAGCTCACACCTGCCACCCATTCCTTCTCTCTACAGTGTTAAATGTTCCAAAGGACATAACCGGGCCCTCCACGCCTGTCACGGAGGGGAGACATCGGAGGCGGGACCTTGGCGTCCAGGACTGGGCACGGCCTGCAAACAGGACGGCAGGAGGTGCGGCCCTGCGGTGCGACGGCCACTCTCTCTGAGCCCCAGCGTATGTCCACGCAGAACTTTTGGGGTCCACTCTGCCAGGCTCCCAGGGAGAGGACGACAATATGCCTGGACAAGTGGACATCTGGGTACAGGGCTTGGGACTCTGACGCTGACCCTCATCTTTCAGCTCTGCCCAGAGAGGGAGGTAAGCAGGACTCACAGAGACCTGGAGTCGATGGGCCACCTGCATGCCAGGTCCCAGCCTGGGGTCCGAGCGGGTTTCCCGAAGGGGAGGACTGGCCAGGGGCTGCTGTGTGTGTGTGTGAGTGTGTGTGTGGGGTGGTATGTGTGTGAGTGTGTGTGTGAGTGTGTGTGTGTGTGAGTGTGTGAGTGTGTGTGTGTATGTCTGTATGTGTGTGAGTGTGTGTGTGTGTGAGTGTGTGCGTGTGTGTGTGTGACTATGGTGTGTGTGTGTTTCTGGGGGGTGTGTATGTATGCACATGCTGGGGAGGTGTCAACCAGAGCCCCATTGTGACTCTTGTGGGTCCTTGTCGCGCCTGCCCTCATGGGCCCATTCTTCCATAAAAAAAATTAAACATTTTATCTTATGAACCTGTTAGTAGCTAACATAAAGATGAATGTAATCCAGGCTGGGTTATGATCATACATTCTTCCTGATTTTAAAAGAAATTAGATATTTCATGGGCCCCTGAAAGTGCTGTGTCCGGCCTGGGGTCTCCCCCTGGAGGCTGGCCTCCCCCCCGGAGAAGAAACAGGGAAGATGCCCAGACTCGGCCGGGGCCCGGGACGAAGCTGCCCCCGGCTGCTCACACCCTGCTGGGCACACAGCTTGGTACATGGCAGGGCCTTCACAGGTAATTATTGTGTTAATAATTCTGGGTCCTTGTTCCGGTTTCGTCTCCACCTCATCCGCACAGAACTGAAAGTAACTGAGGAGGGTGCGTTTGTGGTGAGGATCGGGGGCACAGACCCCGGTCGTGGCTGTCATCACCCGTCTACCCGGAAGGCAGCTGTGGCCTCAGACACCCATTGTCTGGGCAGCAGGTCGCTGGGCCAGATGTGTACTGCTGCTCACAGATGGGCCAGGGCAGCCCTCAGGGACAGTCACGCCCCTATGGGGGTGAGTGGTCAGGGCGTCAAACCCCAAACTCACAGCCCGCACGAACTTGGCCATGAAGCCCTCCCACTCAGGGGCTGACAACTCTGAGGCAGAAATAGCACTGGCAAAATGTGTACAAAGCTAGTCGAAAATAATTTGGAAGCATTTACGCTTTGAGGACAGCTACAGAAAGCAGAGGGTAAAAAATAGACTTCTGGTTAGATTTAGAATCTTGCAATTTCTAAGCGCTTCCTGTCTTTTTATTCTAAAAAGTCACACTTCACTTTAAAAACATTATTTCCTCAATTTATCAGCTGTTGGCGCTTTTCCAGAAAAGAGGATGCTCCCTTGCCACTGGCCGAGGAGCCTTTCCATGGCCCAGTCTCTCGGACACACCAGGTGTCATCCTGATCTCTGTCCCCAGGGCTCCCTAGAGCCACATCCGTGACTGGGCTCCTGCCCCAGAGACATCTGGTCAACCTGGTAAATTTACAGCCAGTCTGGGCTTGGGGAAGGTGGGAGATGCAGGGAAGGTGCCCCGGGCTGTGGGAGTTGGGCCACAGCTACTCCCCTGCCTGCTGACTCGAACCCCACCCTGAGCAATAGCAGCGGCTCTCAGCCCCGGGACAGAGGCAGTGGACCTGGAGCCCCTGCACAAAGTCCCAAGATCCAGCCACTCCTGTCCTGAGTCCCCAGGGCATCTCTGGCCAACTGCCCAATTGAATCAGACACCCCTCTCATTCGGCCTGTCTTGCTGATGCCAAATGTCAGATGCCACCCGGTTGGCTATTTCCAGGGTACATCCTGAGTGCCTCCATGCCACCATTCCATAAATCTAACATTCCACCAACATGAAACGTGTCGTCCGGTTAGAGTCCCCTGGCCCCGGATGACTGCCAGCACCCTCGGTTTCCCTTGGTGTGCACTCCTGGGGCACAGGGGCCGGGGCAGGACCCTCACCCTGGGGTGGGGAGAACTCCTGGGGGAGGTGCCACAGCCTGTCCTGTACCCATCGCATTTTCATACCTGCAGGAAATGCCCAACTCCTTCCTCCTGGTACAAGCTGGAGACGCAGCTCAGAGAAACTGCAGGAGGCAGGCCCCGCTTTCCCCAGGGGGCGACTCTCAGGGGAGGTGATGCCCCACCCCGGGCTGTCACCGTCTGGGAGGAGGGGGTGGGGTGCAGGTAATTCCTACACCTGGCCATTAATTCAGATCTCACCGAGGCCCCACGGAAAATACTCTTAATTAACAATGTCAACATGATCTTGAAAGGACAGAGGGTTTAGTGATTAAGAGAGAAATGTAGGTCAGGAACCTAGGAAAGTGGAAGGCTCTGACCAGGTCCTCCACACGGGCACTCCGCAGGTCAACACGTGAATTAAACTAGTTAATTAGGCGAATTATACTAACAATCGTTACTAATTTCCAAATGGCCCGAGTTTAATTTGACACACTTGTTCCAAAGACCCCAAACCTCCTGCCATGGTTTTCCTCTCCTCTGAGCTGTCCCTGGTGTCCCCACCACCTTCCCCCCATCGTCCCTGATAACCTACATCAGCCTAGCTGCAAATCCTCTCGACGGCATCTTCACCGTGTCCACACCTAACCCTGGCGTGAGCTGCCCTCACAGCTCAGCTGCGTGACAGTAGCCACCGGACCCCTCCCCCCACCGCCTGACCCCTCCCCGGTGCTTCCTTGGCCTCCTCTACAAACACATGTGGGATGAAAGGCTATTTGGTTCATTTCTCTAGTTTCAGCTGGATCATAGGCTCAGGGGGTCTCTGCAAAACCACATATAAATCCTATGCATGCAAAAGGTGAAAGAATGATTTCTATCAAGGGCTAAAAATCCAGAGGCCACATAAATCAAGTGGACCCCAGCTTCTTTTGCTTACAGAGCAGGTGGACCCAATTCTACCCCTAAAAACCCAACCAAGCGCCCACACGCTGAAGCCATCGCAGAGGCTAGCTTCCTCGACCCCACGGAAGCAGTGCCCGAGAAGGGAGGTCCCTGGGATGGGGAAGCCCTCAGTTCAGTGGTCACCCCTGGACGCAGTGGAACCGTTGGAGACTGCCATACTGTCAGCCTGATGGGCAAAGCCGCCAGGAGGCGTCCAGGCCCGCGAAGGGCGTCGCAACCCCCCTGGGCCAACATTTCCAAAGGCAGCTTGGAACGCTGGGTGTTTGTCTTGGCACGGAGGCCGGATGTGAATGCCAACCCTGGGGCATGGCCTGCCCAGCGACGCCCCTGAGCAGACTTGTCAGCTTCCTGTCCCGCCACCTCCCTGAACCCACATGCTCCAGCCCATGGCACCTTTAGCTGCTGGGGTTAAAATCGGGTTGATTCTAAGCTTTCCCAAATACTGCCAAAGCCCTACAGGTTCCTATTTGTCGTTTCTGTTCTTGGTTCAGGAGACTTGCTGCTGGTGGCCAAGACCGCTGAGTCTGAGGGCAGGAGATGCCCAGCGGCCCCAGGACTGGCTCGTCGGGGGGCCCCGCCAGCGGGTGCAGGCGGCCCCCCTCTTGGCCTCTGGTCCGCCCAGGTCTGACACAGGGCACAGGCTTAGCAGCCGTGCCCCCCACAACACGGGCCGCCTGAGTCCGTATGGGAGGCAGGGGCCTAGGTGACCAGGTGTGAATGCCGAGCAGCTGTGCTGATGGGGCCCTGGCCTCCCGGCACCGATCGTCACGGTGCCTGTCCAGGCACCGTCCCCAGGCGCTGCAAGGGAACGCGGAGTTCAGTCAAAACGCCACCGATCGCGCCAAAGAAGTAAAATCTTACTGGGAAGGATGTTGGGATATCTGTTTTTTTCTCGGTTTTCTTCTTTATTGGCCTGTTCAAAAGTTCCTTGTATGTGTCCAGATGGCAACGACTGGAAAAAAATGCAGAGTTAACACTAAATGTGATGAATCCTAGTACCCACCGCATTACATCAGCTTCCCGAGAAAACGGGTCTCTGAGCCAACTACCTCCCGCCTGTCCCCTTCTCCTTCCCCCCCGTCCCCGCCTCCATCCTCCCGTCCGTACCCCACCTCTGCCTCAGAGGCTGTGCCAGGCACTGGGAAAGACGGGGAACAGACACAGTCCGCTTTCCCTCA